CTTAAGTGGGAATATTGCTTTTGGGATCAAGATTGTGCGTAATTTTGACATGTTTGAGGCGTACTTGACCATTTTCACCTAAATTTAATGTGTATGGTTTTTTTGCCACAGTATTTGTCTATTCACCGAATGAAGACTCAGTGCTTCAAGTGACAAAGGAGGCCTATGACAACTGTACCACAGATGCACCGCTGGCCAAATACACCGACGGCCACACCATCGTCAGCCTAAACCGGTCCGGACCTTTCTATTTCATTAGTGGAAACAAAGATAACTGCCTCAAGGATGAGAAATTGGTGGTGGTTGTCTTGGCAGGCAGAAGCAATACTAGTACCACCAACGCCACGGCTCCTGCCTCTCCTCCTCTAGCTGCTTCCCCTCAGTCACCTCCAGCTTCAGTCCCAGCACCCTATGGTGAGTCTCCACCTACCCCAACTCCAGCACCTCTAGCTGCTTCCCCTCGGTCACCTCCAGCTTCAGTCCCAGCACCCTATGGTGAGTCTCCACCTACCCCAACTCCAGCACCTCTAGCTGCTTCCCCTCAGTCACCTCCAGGTTCAGTCCCAGCACCAGCACCAGCACCCTACAGGGAGTCTCCACCTAACCCAACTCCGGTGCCTACCGAGCAATCTCCTGCTTCTCCTCCTCAAGCTGCTTCCCCTCCGTCACCTTCAGCCTCAATTCCAGCGCCGGCACCCTCCATTTACTCTCCACCTAATGCCCCGTCTCCGGCTCCTACCCAGCAATCTCCCCCGGCAAGTGCTGCTTCTTCTGTCTTTATCGGTGTTACAGGCTCTATTGGAGCATTTCTTGCTTCATATATACTTCTATCATTCTAAGTAGGAAATTTGCATATATGGGAGTTTTTCTTGGCATTCATGTTTTCTATATAATGATTTTCCCTAGATTGAGCTCATTGGGTTCGATTGTGTATTAATTTCTGAATAATGAGCTGCAAATTGATAGTGTATGTAACTATATATGTTGTACCGTATGTTTTTGCTCGGAAATATGAGAAAAATAAATGGATTTTCGAATGAATGATATTATATGTACTTGCATTTTCATTAATATAACCAATAATAAATTATAGAACTGACAATAAAAGAAAACGAAGACGAAGAGATCGTCACTAATTTCACTCAGCATTTGTTAAAATTTTATATTGATCTAATGCCAAAACAAATAGCTAGCTTGGGAAATCTTGTAGACCAAAACCAAATATTGTCATACACATTCGTAAGGTCTTAAAAGTTTTTTATGGGCCCAAGCAGCTAAAGTTAATGACTCGGAAGAAGTCCCAACTCCAAGTCATTTTACACCCTAACAAATACTAAAGGAGACTCCCACCTCCAATAATAATGTCTGGATACAAATCCGTTTTTAAGATCAGAATAATTTCCTAAAATATCTGCCCCTATCATCAAAAACCCATCCCTAATTTTTTAGATATCTTTTTCAATCCGGATTAAAGCCCGTTCCAACAAGAGAGAATCTTTCCTATTAGACAATACAATA